GTTTGTTTATTATTTAATATGAAAAACTTAATTATGTGGGTACGTGGAAATGCCTGTGTCTCTTTTACAACTTCTTAGCGTTAAAGGAAGTGCTTGTAAAAATTTAGAGAAACGTCAAATAACAAAGAATATTTTAGGCACACCTTTTTTCGTTCTGTGTTGAGATTGCGAAAATGTGTGCCACAAAAAAAATTAAAAAAAAAAAAAAAAAATGGACTTTACTCACGACTTTTTTACAACTGATGTAGAACACGAAAAGCGTAATGTTTTTATATAGAGACAATACACCTGTAGATAGAATACACAAGCCTTTTTTCAAATGCATGTGTTCGGGACAACATAGGATGAAAGCATGCAACCACAATCTTTTTCGATTTAAAAACCGAACTTTTGCTTCTCAACTCCTTCATTTGTAATTTTGTACGACAAACAAGTTTTGCAACATCACAAGGACAAAAACATAATGTTGACTCGTGAGATTTCGACATGTCGTCATCAGATCCGTCCAAGATTACCTTTTTCGTTCGGCATAAAAATTGGCATAATGGGAATGCTGTGGACCAGAAATATTGTAACAAGGCCACACGACAGTTACCGACCTAAAGTAATATACCTTTGATATGTAATATATAGTCTTAAGTTTTACATGTGACAATTCATGTGGGTGATTACTCCAGTCATTTATCTATGATGAATTAAGACACCGTATATCAAACATTAATAGGCTAAAGATAACCATGTAAATCAGTGTAATCTTAGCAGGTTTTTGAATAAGATCAATTACAGATAAAACTGAGATAACAAAAAATTAGATCCCCTTTTGATCTTATATTGACGCGTTCCCATTTAAGACGTCAGCACATCGTTACGAGCGTAGTTCACCTTAAGGTGTACACTTAAGAGCACATTTTGCGTACGATTCCTGTATTCTGGTTTGTCCATTAAACCATCACTAGAAGGTCTACGAGCTCAGACACTCTCCAAATCTTTGTCGATTAGTTCTTAAAAACAAAATATATTTAAAATTTAAGAAACTTAGTTTTGTAGAACTTAGTGTCTGTAGAGTCGTCGTCCTTCTTCGAGCTAATACTTGTGTTTATCCACTACAAATACGGTGTAAATAAAAATGTACAGTTATCCGACGTTGTCGCAAACTGATAAAAAAATTAACTAACCTCTTATCCAGAATGCTCCAAAGTTCGAGCATTGGTTTTGGACAAATTATTAGCGCTTGACAGATATCTCGTTAAGGTGATGAATGCGATTCATTGTGTGCAGGCTATTAAACTTGTACTTACCATAGCAAGGAGCAATATGTCCTTGTCATTTTGTTAAGATAGTTATTTATGATGGAGTGCATCAATTTTGTAAGTAATAAGTAGATTACAGAAGAAAGAAAAGCGGTGTTATCGCTGCATTTCTGCTGTTACTGACAAGCCCGAAACTAAATGACGTATATGGAAAACATTGCATCATAATTAGCACCGAATGATTCATTGAGACTGTGCCTGCGCTTGACACTTGATAGCTTTTTTCAAAACACTTTTGTCAATGTCATGGGGCATGTACAATACGCTAGACTCAGTTTGAGCCTATTCCCTTTTTATAAAGAATCGTTATCTACGTGCCCCTTTTCCTTAATGTCTGATCCCTTTGCCTAACTTCTAAAAACCCCTAATTTGTCAAGTTTTTTTCGCAACTCTTTTTTCACAAGATTATAACACTCTAAATGGTGCATTCATACTTTACTAAAACTTTTCAAGATTCTACGAGTTTTTAACAGCACTTTTCTATCGAGTTTTGCATATCGCTAAGAGAAAGCGCACCTATCGGACCCAAGTGAGATGAATCTCATTATCGAAGTTGTAATACAAACGAATGAGTGCCCTCATGTAATTGTTAGATCAAACAAACTTTTTAACTATTTCCACCATAATTTGTATATGTTACACCACATACAACGGTGTCATTAGACGCGATGGGTGATTTCTTATTCATATTTAATTAAAACTTTGGACTAAAATGAACAAAAAGCACCATCAAAATTGCTAGTATACAACAGAGCGTACAATATAACCCTGTTCAGCAACATCACATAGCCTAAAGCGGGAGCGATAGCTATAGTGTACCGTACATCGAAAGTACCCCGTTACAAAGGAAACTCTAATTCGGCATAAGTCCTAGCTGTTTTCTGTTAGATGTAAAAAGCTCAGCGCAAGTATATCTATTTTATTTTGGGGAGCGGGACTTCTTTTAACTTTGTTTTTAAAATCAGGGCTCAACAGATGACGACGTGGAAGATCTACAAACCAACAGTCTAAATGCTTAGTTATGTGCAATCCTGGCAGGTTCAGCAAAGAGAGAACCTATCGTGGTATAATGATATCCCCTTGGTGCCTTGAAAAATCATTGCCGTTTAATTAAATTATTGCTGGTTCCGTCCCCCTTACAACCAACCCAAGGACGATCAAAATGTGTGACACATGGGTCCTGCTTATACCATCCCGGGAAATCGGATTACTGAGCTCGTTCTCTCGTGGAAGCATAAACCTCCGACATCAAATTGTCGGGGGCCTTGGACTGTCTGGCCGCCAAAGAATCCAGTTAAAAGTAAATTCCGGTAAGGGATGTGTACTGCCCACCGAAGAGGTCAGAAGTCTGTCGTAAAAATTTATAATTTATACCCACTGCATACACCGGATACGCAATTTTGAATGATGAGGGCAAGGCAAAAATAATTTACAGTATCCCACGGCAGCAAAGGGTGCGGAACCGACACTACTGAATGTATACAGTAATTACTGGCGCGTATCACAGCTAAACCCTGACTATGCACTCTTTCCAATAAAATGACGCTGTACAGGACCATCATCCTGGTCCAGAACAACATGGAATATGGTTGCCACACTTTCGGAGTCGTGTAGTGCGTTTAAAGACCGTTTTGAGAGCTAAATATATTATCTCGTACGGTAAAATCAATGTAATACGTACAACTCTATGGTAAATTTAGTAAAAATGTTTAGCGGGTAGACCAATTTCCTAAAATTTATAGTGTTGTCGTGTCTATGCGAAAATGTGATTATATAGCTCATAATTTTACGTCTGTCACGTTCGTTATAGATAATAAATCCAGACAAAAAATGCTTCAATAGAAATGTTAGCGTGATCGAAAGGATGTGGATATCGGAACTCACAAAAATAGTGTGAAGTCAAGGAAAAAGACGTATAAATTTATCAATATTCCTTACCAGTCCCTTGATTATAAAAGTCGCAGTCTTATGATTACTTATTGCACATAAACCTGCCAAGATACCTTTGCACAAAGATATAAACACACATTACCCTACGACTTGGTAAATTTCACTCAAGTACAGTTGTTGCTCGGAAAAACCATATTTTAATAACTCACAACTCAGATAACTTGTTAAATTTGCCTTCCAGTACGCTCCATCTATGGTCGCTAATTCATAACTTGTACATTATAACGATCAAGGGTGATGAGTCTTTCGTGGGAAAAAAATCATACGATTATAATCCTGAGCTGAAAAAAATGTATTCTTGTATTAGAATGCGCAATTGAGGGGTATCTAAGTGTTTAAGTGTACTCAATAGTCGATTTAAAAACTAGAGTGCTATGAGTGGTGGCCGCCACACGGATAGACATACGAAATACCACTCGCATTGGACGTGAAGGTAATTAGGATCCGTACCCGAATATAATCTGGAAGAACACTGTCATCGACTTAAGAAATTACAGCCTTTATTTATCCTAACAACCAATTATATTCTGACCCTAAATTCTTTAGACCCGCAATCACTTAATATGAAACTGCCTTCTGTAAATCATGTTGTCTATAGGACTGGATCATTTCAGTATTGTCCAACATTATCCTTGATTAAGATTTCTAAATTGTAAAGTACATTTTTATTCATATAAAACATAGTAGGGCTTATGGAGAGCGATTACAACCCAAAGTCTGAAAAGCGTTGCATCCATGTCTACCTCATTAAATCAAATTTTTATCGCCGTAAATCCTGATGCTGCGCATTTTGTAACGTTGCTGGGAATGCTTCGACCGTCCACTAAAGAACTTGATGGTGTCCTCAGATGGACCAAGCCGTTCACAAAATGCCTTTCGTTGACCTCATTGATTTCTCCAAACTTTAAACATTCCTGATTTGGAAATAAAAGCACCCAAATTGACAGGTATCCCTTATCTTTTTTTAGTGTATAAGAATCGTCACGGGTCGTTGGCGGAAAGCTCGTTAAATGTGTCACCGATTATATATCAGTGCACTTCTTAATTATGAGAGAAATGTCTTTTTGAGTCATTCAATATTACAACCTGCTAAAAACTAATCTTGCCAGAACACTATGGCTCAATTATATTCTCTTGGTCTTGTGCTGAAAGATCTCGAGTCTACGTATATAGGTGAAGTGTGCTTGGGACATGTAACGGGGCATCCTTTGTTTGGGTGCCACGGAACTTCACGTACACTAGTACGTGCAGAGGAAGCTATTTTACTCAACAACTAATCTGAGTAAAGGTTAAAAAGAGAACTGTATTTTATATAGTTAACATGTCAGTATTCATTTAATCTTAATCTAACTATTTAAACTACGTCGTCGTAAGACGACAACCTGCTCACCACTCATTGCGCGCATCTAGCAGCAATTGGTGGTAATCTATGGTTAAGATGTCTTCTATCGACTAATCTTGGAGCAGCGCATAAATAATATCCAAAAGATGATATTTTTCCTTCAATATTTCCATCTTGGATAATAGTGGTAGGATTATGTCATGCTGGACAAAATCTCTAATGACACCAAACGGTGTCAACATCATGTGACGGCCTACACCATTACATCACCTACCCCCCTTAACCATCAATCATTCGTTGATTGGATAGGATTGATTGGGACAGGGTGACCACCGTTGGATCACTCTGGAAAAGGGAGCACTTGTTAGTCGAATCCCATTTATTTGCCAATCCAACGCATGGTTTCGAAAACCACGCGAGTTTCTACTGCAGCAGCAAAAAAGGCAGCTGTACGCATGCTTGCGGCCGAAGAGAAATCTTATTACCCCGTAGCAGCAGGTGATTCGTTGCCTGCTGCTGTAAAAAGTCCACGAGGTGTGTCACCACGGTTGACAGCTACATCCACTGCGTCTGCAGCAGGTACCACGAGTCGTAACCAAGATGAGACTGAAATAGAGCTCATCTATTCTGGCGAGTCGGATGAGGCTTCCGACTCGAAGGCGACATCTCGCGCCTACGGATCATCCGGGGCGGACACTGCAAGAGCCAGTTTGATTGGATCTGGGGAAAGTAGCGGCATAGTTTTCGAAATCTTCCGACTAAGTGATTGTTCTGACGTATCCTCGTCTCACGCAGATCTATTTGACGATAGGACGCGTGGGGATGTTGGTGATGCACCTATACATCACCACGAGCGAAGTAACGCGAGTGATCGGGGTGCCACTGGTGTCAGCGCTCGAGCGCTGACACCAACTAAGAGGCAAGAGACCGAAATGTCCTGCGCCACGCTCCTCAAGTTGAGTCTCCGTGGATGCCGTCATCCAGAGAGTTGAACCGGTTGGCCGGCATGACTACCGATGAAGGTCGAATTTCGTTGTTTGATTGCAGGAAGATTTTTGCCCACCTGATTCCAGCACGCAAACTATCCGTGCTGAGGAAGAATTATTCACCGATGCATTTTTCGGACATCGGTGGTACAATGGAAGCCGTTTTCGAGACGGAAAGGTCTTGGTGCAAGAATGGGATGCCCTCATCCATAACATCGAGTGCGTTGGCCGTGAGGCCTGGCTCGCCAAAATCGATGCAGCTCCCATCACGTTTGAGAAACGCAACCCCGTCGGGGCGCGATACAAGTTGCACCGACTGTCAAGAGAGGCAGGATTACCCTGTATCTCGTGGGGTGATTCGTGTCCAGGTTGCCTAAACAACTCGAACCGTGCCCCTAGGGAGGTCTACCTCCCTAATGATCCCTATTGAAGGGCGTGCATCTCTTCCGAGATGGCTGAAGAGATCGACACCTTGCAATCCCTGTACTCGCGCTCGAGACGGTTGTTTTTCGACAACCCTTCTTCAAACGCAGCGGGTGGATCGCGTCATATTGATTGACAATACTTAGAACATCAACAATCAGCTGGGCACGAGGCTCTCAGCTTTCCTAGGCCAGTGGGTAGCCACGCCAACGGAGAAGGTAACTCGTTCGGACGCCATTCACGTCGCGGTGGTTCAAAATACGCTCCACTAGGAAGCGTTGACCACCGCCTGAGTCCACCAAAGGATGTGGTGGTGGCGGGAACACCTGATCCGCCTTGAGGGTTGTATCAGCTTGATGTTCAGGAGCAGAACCGTGTAACCGATCATTTAAAAGAAGATCTGGATCATTAATGGACTCGGCGTTATGAGCTTGAGTATCTTGTCAGAGAAAATTAAAACTCTTTAACAAACGATCGTTCGGACGATCGTGCGGATTTCGCGTTTGCGCAACTTGAGAACGAACGTTCGACTCGTTCTCTTTTTTAAAGAAAGAGAACGAGTCGAACGTTCGTTTTCAAGTTAAAAAAGAGCAATTCGAGCTGGCTGCAGCTCGTCAAGACATCGCTCAACTGCGCGAGCAGGTAGCTTCGCTAGCCGACCAGACTGGCTCGTTGAAACGGGACCACTCGAAGGTGGTCTCGGCTCTCGACCGTTAAGGTGTTCTTCGCATCTTGAAACGGGCTCGTACTGATAGTACGGCCGAAAAAATACCACGAAAAACGTAGGGTGAGTACGCATCTTACGGGACAGTTTAATCGTGTATGCGTTGCCCATTAGGCGCCGCACACGAAATGGACCGATGTACCTGGGAAGTAGTTTCTGCTGCCCATGTTTGCTACAGCGTGTGTAGGTAAATTTACTGTAGACAGTAAAACTAGGTATCCTTCATCAGATGAAAGAACACATGCTCTTCCATGTTTGTCTGCGAATCTCTTCTGTATGTTTATTGCATCTGCAATCGATTCTTGAACGAAGCAGATGACCGCCTTGCGAGTCAGCAGAAATTCCTCTGCTGATTTGTCTTGTCAACTGTTTTGCGCTTCGTGTGCACTGCTAACAGAACGTTATCTTCACCATTAGGGTGTCACGGTTTCACTTTGGCAGTCTTTGGAGATGCTGAAATGTACCAGTATCATCGTCATCACCATCACCGATATCTATCGCATCGACATCGGCATCTATCACGTCGACACCATTGTCGACGGGTGATGAGTAAGAACCAGATCGGTTTTTGTATGAGCGAGTTCACCCCCCCCTTAAACTAGAGTCACACTCTAAGAAGGCGGGTAAACGTGGATGGCGTAGGCCATTCACGAAGAACGGTGTATGCATTGTCGACGCATGCACCGAGTTGTTGATGGCGAATTCCGCCATCGGCAAGAACTCACTCCAGCTCGTAAACGCGTGGACATAACCTCGAAGTATCTCTTCGAGAACGCAGTTGACGCGTTCCGTTTGGTCATCTGTTTCTGGATAACCAGAAGTTGACATCTTCGAACGTGCTCTAAGTGAACGGAATACGGATTGCCAGAACTTCGCCGTAAAGCGGGGGTCCCTATCGGACACGAGTTCACGGGGTAACCTGTATAGTCGGAAGATAGGGTCGATAGAGACACGCGCACAGCCCTGGGCTGTGATTGACTTCGGTACAGCAACAAGATGTACCATCTTGCTGAACCGATCAACAAACACAAAAATACCATGTTCGTGTGAACGTCTTTGGAAACCCAAAGATGAAGTCCATCGATACGGGCTGCCAACACTCTGCCGAATCGGCAGAGGCTGCAAGGGTGCGCGGGATGAAGGACTAGGCTTCACCTGTTGACGTACTTTGCAAGCGCGGATGTTTCTGCGCACAAACTCATACTGGGGGGGCAGTAGAAGTCACGACAACCGTGAGGTAAGTCTTTTTCTAACTATATGCCCACTTGTTGGGGCATCGTGACACTCATACATGACGCGCAATCGCAAATCATTATAAGCGGGAACGACGACATGAGGTGTGTCGCCGTTGACTGCTGTATAGTACAGCAGTCCATCACGAACAGAATATAGTTCGGTTGAAGAGCGGTATTAAGACGACAAGCTTTTCAAAGCTTGACTGCATGGATTGGATACGTAATCCGTCAACCGCAAAAGAGACTCGTCTTCTGTGTATACTTTTCGCACGTCATCGAGCAGATTCGACGACAGAACACTCACTGATAGTGTTGCTACAGTGGGGTCACCTCACTGTTGGGTGGAGCAGTCGGCTCGAAAACGGGCCGACGCGAAAGAGTGTCAGCGACGACATTAAGTCATCCTGTTTTTAGACTAGACAAGGAATTTGTACTCCTCGAAGAAAGACAGCCACCTCGCCATTCGTTGCAAATAGGTGTGGACTGTTTACGGCCGTGCGTAACGACTCATGGTCGGCGTAAACGATGAAGGGCCTATCTCCTAAGAGCTGTAACCGAAGCTTAGCCAGTGCATATTTCATGGCACTGAGTTCCTTTCCATGCACCGGGTACTTATTCTCAGCTGCTTGTAGCAGAAGCCATTGATAACAGACGACGCGCTCAACGCCGGCTGACATGTACTGCATCAACGCGCAGCCGATCGCAAAATCGCTGGCGTCACAGACCACATGGATTTGTCTGTCCTGTTCTGCCATCGCCAACACGGGCAATTGTATCAAGCTTTTTTGATACCTTCAAAGGAGTGCTGACACTCAGCGCTCCATGAGCACCTCTCGTTTTTCTTTAAGAAACGAGAGAGATGTACGGTCATCTCGACGCAGTTGCGTGAGTGCTTGTGCGAGTGCGCCGCCAAGCCAAGGAACTCCTAAAAAACCCTTGATGTCGACTTGCACGGGCAAGTTGCTAATCGCCTTAATCTTTTCCGGATCATTGCGCACATCTTTTTTACTTATGATGCAGCGAAGAAGTGGTATTTTGCTCGCTGCGAATGTACACTTCTTAAGGCTCGCGAACAACTTAGGCTCTCGCAGTAGAGTAAGAACCTTCCGGACGTGAATTCTATGATCGTCCACGTCCGTCTTTCCATCCTTAGCACGGCTATGGACGACGACGTCTTCGAAGTAACTCGGTGCGAAATCGCGCACCGATCGCAACAGATTCGTAACACATCTGTTGAACGTTGCAGGGGCGTTACTTAGCCCCTGTGGCATCACTAGCCACTCCCAGAGCATACCACCGAGGGTGATCACTGCTGTGTACGGGATGTCCTGTTCGAGCAAAAGATTCAATTATTTGTAGAAATATTTTATAAATTTATATTAGCTAAAAATCAATCTACAATTAATTCTTTTTTGAAAATTACAGATATTTTCCCTATTTAAATAAAACAAGAATCAAAATTATTAATTATTTTTTATTGATAAAAAATATTTTAAAATTAATATTATTTTTTAGATTCTCTGTTAAAATATAATTACTATACAAATATATTAGAACAATATTCAAAAATATAAGTTAATGCTAATACTTTTAGTATGTTCTTGCTGTTGAAAAATTGTTAAATTGTAATGTTCCTTTAAGAGCTCAATACATCAGAGTTTTATTTTCAGAAATAACTCGTATATTAAATCATTTATGCAGGAGACGAAAAGATGGTACTTTTTGCCATACCAACTATGATGATTCCTTCCTTGGATCGGCGTTTGAGCCAGTACCGTGGTAGTGTTCAGTTTGTTGAACGCGTGCATTGTCCGCCACCCTCCTGTGGCCTTTCGAACACAGAAGGTCGGATAGCTGTGTTGGGAAGTTGATTCCCTCACATAACCAGCCGCTAATCGATCGGCGACGAATTTTTGATCGCAGAGACCTCTTCACAAGGCAATTGTCATTACTTCATGACACAAAATTACAAACCGGGTTTCAGTGCAATCTCAGGCCGAGTTCCTTTGTCTTTAAGTAACTCGCATGGCACGGATTCAGGATAATTATCCCTGAATCTAGCCAAATCCTTAGACAAAGGATTCGTCTTCGATGACTTCCAAGATTGAGATGTGTATTGCTCAATTCGGGTCTTCTCATTGAAGACACCCTTTTCCATCGATGAGATTCTGAGAACCCGTTCTCTTTCAGCAAAAACTTGTGCAGACCGAATATCGGCGACGTACTCGTCCACGGTGACAAGTACGCAGATGTGCTTGATTGTAACTACGCAGATCTCGCAAAAACCTTTTAGATTATAGCGTTGGCAACTTGACTACCTCTGAAGCTGATTTCGGGGGCGTAATCAGATCAAGTGTATAAGCGCTTACACTTGATCCGTCAATCACCAAGACATTCACTGTCTCGGTGCTTTCCTGGGAAAACACATTCGCAGGTGGTTGAATTAACACACCCTCAACATAACTCTCTCGGGTCTTTTTACTCTCAGAAACGCTGATATTTCTTCCGTTATGTGTACTATCACAGTCACGTCCTCTTCGATCGACTCTCTTTCAGTCGAGCGGGCTTGCTCTACGATCGACTCTCTGATAGTAGATCTCGCTTAAATGTGTTGTCCATCCTGAACAACACTACCCTCTCTTCTCGTATGCACCCTTCTTGGTGTGCATCCGTGTTCCAGTCCACTCGATCTCTTCGAGTGGTGAACCTTCGGCGCAGCCTGTGTCTCTACACAGGTGCCGGAAGCTGGTTCTACAGTACAGTGGCCTTCTACACTGTGATCTTGTGCAATCGTACTAACGACCGTACCACAAGTGAGGCCATCGCACTCCCTTGTGGTGCATCCACACGCTTGTGGACGCTCCAAGACGTTCATCAATGTCCATCCGATGAACAAACGGCAGGCATCTTCACGGATCGATGCTGCCAGCTACACCATGGCTGGTACTTTCTAAGCCATGGCAGACCAAGGATGACATCAAATTTGACATCCAAATCTAGCACGATGGAGTCATCATCGTACTGTGTTCCTTCTAGCGTGTAGTGGATTCCCACAACACGTTTGTTTACTGTTACGGATGCGCATGTAGCAAGTCACACCGTCATCCTCGTTGGAGGGAACTCTCGCTCAATGTAGTTGAGACTACTATCCCATAGCGACTGGCGTCGAACAAAACTGTTCGACGCCCAACAGTAAACCAGGGCGCGAAGTGAAATTCCACTTGTCTCTTCGACCTCTAAAGTAGTGAGAGACTCCTCATCACTAAGGGCAGGAATACACACAGACTGTGTGCTGGGAGCAATCTTCGTCAAGAGTCCTGCAAATTCTCTAACAGTTGCTGGATCAGCAGGGTGCTCCGCCCCTACTGACCCGGACCGTTTTTTGGCGGTCCGACTTGCTGTCGCGACTTGGCGACATGGTCGGACCCGCGTCTTGGACCGTGACTCGGCCAACGGCGGTCATCACGCCCTCTCTTCGGATGTGATGCGGTGCTTGGGACACTACACTCACGAACGTAGTGTCCAATCTTCTGACAGGGATGGCATCTTGCCGTTCGCTTGTGACTCAGAGAGGTAGAGTTCTCGCTCTCGATGTAACATAGGTTTATAGGTTCGGGGCCTCCTGTTTTCTGTCGCCTCGTCGGACTATAGTTTGACGAGTTAGCCTGAGACTGTCTCAGGCTAAAGTCTTCTTGTTCCGCATACGCCATCGCCTTTTCCAGCGTTTGAAAGTCCTCTTGTAACGTGTAGGTCTTCACCGGCCCATCCACAAGGCCGTAGATGATACACGTTCATGAGCGTGTGCTCATAAACAGGGTTTCCCGTAACGCTACTCGCAAGGTAGCGTGAGTGTTGTGCGCAATGCCTTAGTTTCAAGAGTTCAGACCACGATCTGAACTCGGCTCTCGGCGGCTCAAACGTCTCTTTGAGACGAGATTTCAAGATCTCCAACGACTCAAAAACGTTTGGGTCGTGAAGCTTGAGCCCTAAGGCCTAAGTCTTTGCTCGTCCTGTAAAATTTGACAGGGCGAAGGTGACTTGCATCTCGTCACCCTTGATGTGACGGGCTCTGATGGCATCGTCTAACTGGACGGACCATCTCAAAATGGAATCTTCATCGGTTCCCTAGTACCTTGAGATGTCAATTTTTAAAATTTCGGGTCGACGCATGTGCGTCGGCCAGCCCATCGACTGATGAGAGCCTTGCTGTTGTAGCAAGGCTATCTTCTGTCGTTCGACGGCAAGTTCCCCTTGTAGGAACTTGTTGGTAGTTGCATGTTGCTGATCTCTGCTTCGAGACTCCAACATGCCACTGATTACGGGCTTTGCCCATGAGCACACTCATGCGGCCGACTACCTCTCATTCTGAGTCACTCAGATGGAAGTAGCCTTCACATGTGTCGTATAAGCTGTTGTCTTTTACGTCCAACATGTTCATGTATAGGTGGACAGTAAGTAGTCGTTGGTCGGACTACGATCGCTTTCAAATGCAACGGGGCAGCCTGTTGTCGAGTTGCTACTAAACTTCACCTACACTAGTACGTGCAGAGGAAGCTAATCTACTTAAACGACTCGTCTAAGTAAAGGGTTATAAGGGAACGGTGTTTTATATAGTTAAGCTGTCAGTATTAATTTAATCTTAATCTAACTATCTAAACTACGTCGTCGTAAGGCGACAACCTGCCCACCACTCATTGCGCGCATCTAGCATCGATTGGTGGTAATCTATGGTTAAGATGTCTTCTATCGACTAATCTTGGAGCAGCGCATAAATAATATCCAAAAGGGAAAAACATTCCTTCAATATTTCCACCTTGGATAATAGTGGTAGGATTATGTCATGCTGGACAAAATCTCTAATGACACCGTTTGGTGTCAATATTATGTAACGGCCAACCTTGTTACAGGACATGTTCAAAGAAAATGGGGGAAACCGCTTGTTTACTGTTTTTAATTCTTATAAAGAAGAACTTCCGAAAACAACATAGCTAATAACCCGGATAATTTAAAGAATTTGTCTCCACCAAGCCTATGAGTAATTATCCGTGGACTGAATGTTTATGTGAGCGGGATAGTAAGGCTCTCCATAACGTTTAAGTACTATTAAACAGATTGCCATCTTTTTAGTGGAGACTCTAAGTGAAACAGGTTGTCTAGATTTATCTAGCTTTGTCATTTCCGAATACACACACTGCACATGAGCAACAACAAATCACAGCTGATCCTAAGCTACGAGCAGTTGCTCGTAGCTTCACAGTCGTTGCATAACTTCAATTTATCCACGTTTACAATAGACATATTACCACATTTGTTTATGACGACAAAATGTCCTGTCTGTCGACGGCATTTGCATCTTAACAATTGATCTGGCTTTTGTTTGTTGCGCATTTACATCGTAAAAATTTTTTGTTGACAAATATGCATTCGCCTGACCTGTTAGACGTCTAGCTCCGTATAAACGCAGCGTGTCCACTTGCTTCGTCTTGTAAATATAAGTTTGGTTCAGCAGACGCAATTTAGCTCGGCATAGGCAAAGTGATAACAAATCTTACATCTTAACTGTAAGAGACAATCAAAGAAACAACATCACGCTTAGTCAAAGGCAAAATACTTTTTGCACTTTCTTGTCAAAGTTTAATTATTAGACCGCCATTGTAACGGGGTGAATCGTTACATAAAGATTTATAAGAAAATGTTCACAGGATGTAAATCTAAGAGTTAAATTCTCAGAAGATTTTCGTAAGGACAAATATTCTGTAGCACTTACGAGTAGTTCCTAATTGGTTGATATAGGCCATTATATCAACCAACGAAGACGCGCCACGACAGACGCACGCAATGAGTGGTGAGCAGATAACTGATTTACACATTTGTATTTAGACATAGTTAGATGAAGATAAATAGTGATTTATTGCAGACATTAACTATACTAAATACAGTTCTACTTTTTACTCTAACCAAGTACTCGCTTCTTCTTACCGTCTTCCTCTGCACGTACGAGTGTACGTGAAGTTGCGAGGCACCGCCTTATTCTGTTATCAGAATAAGTATCTTGTACTGTCACCAGTACAAGCTTCAGGGTGCCCCGTTACACCTGGTAGCACTTCGTAGTCCGTCCAAGGACCGCGTTCACATCCAACATGAATATGTTGGATGATGAAGATGATCAAAGCTTTCACGCTACGCGTGACGGCTACTCCCATTTGAGCGATGTCGAATGGGATGCGGTTGAACGAATGGGTTCGACCATGGGCATCCATGCTGTTAGCGTCATGCTAGAGGCTCTCAATAGAGATGCCCAACATGCTACTATCACCAAGTTCATTCAAAATGAACTTGACGCAGAACGCGAGAAAGTAGCCTTGCTTCGCCAACAAGGTTCTCAACAAGCAGAGTTGTTGAGAGAACAAGGTGCTCAACAGTTTGAACTATTGAGACAGCAGCAGGCTGCTGCTGGCGGGTCGATGCACTCGCGTCGACCCGAGACCTTGAAGATTGACATCTCCAAGTATAGGGGGGTCGAAGAAGACTCCCTCTTGAGATGGTTCGTCGAATTGGATGACGCCATAAGGGCGCGTCGCATCGACGACGGGGATATGCAAGTTGCATTTGCCCAGTCAAATCTGGCAGGACGTGCCAAGACTTGGGCACTGGGGCTCAAGCTGCACGACCCATATGCGTTTGGGTCGTTGGAAGTCTTCAAGTCGCGACTCAGACAAACGTTTGAACCGCTTAGAGCTGAGTTCAGAGCTCGAACCGAACTCTTGAAGCTCAAACAGGGTAAGCGTGATGTGCACGCTTACGCTCAACATGTACGACATCTCACGAGTTGTATAAATTGCAATCCGGTGGATGAACACACGTTGGTTTCGGTGTTCATGCAGGGTCTTGCGGATGGTCCCGTCAAGACTCACCTGTTCCGGCTTGAACTAGGTTCGCTAAAACAAGCCATTTCCATTGCGGAGCAGGAAGACTTCAGTCTGAGACAGGCTCGCGCCAGCTCGACATCATATCGTCAACCGAGACGATATGACAGCGGAGGTCCAGAGCCGATGGAACTCTGTTATGTAGAGAGCGAGAAGACTCGCTCTACAGACTACAAGAAGTTGCAGAAATTCAACAGATATCAAAAGACAGGACACTACGCTTACGAGTGTAGTGCCCCTCGTCCAGTGTATCGCAACACAGGGCATAGTGATCGTTCACCCATGTGAAAGGGGCAGGGACGCGGGTCCGCTGTTGGTGCAAAGACGCAGCAACGGGATGGACCGTCAAAAACGGACAGGATCAGTATGTGCGGAGCACCCTACTGGTCCAGCAACGTCAAGAGAATTTGTAGGCCTCTTGATAAAGGTTGCTCCCAACACACACACGTTGTGCGTTGCTGCTCTAGGTAATGAGACCTCACTCATTACGCTGAAACTCGAAGTGACAAATAAGTTGTCCTTTCGAGCTCTAGTCGATTGTGGGGCGTCCAACAATTTTGTGCGACGCCAATCGCTAGAAGATGGTCATTTCAAGTTCAGTGAATGTGACACACCTCCTACGAAGATGAAGGTACGTCTTGCGACAGGAGCATCCGTAACCGTCATGAAGCGTATAGTGAAGATCCACTATACGCTAGAAGATACCCAATATGACGATGACTTTATCGTATTGGAATTGGATGACAAATTCGATGTCATCCTTGGAATACCGTGGCTCAGAAGGTACGAACCACGGGTTAACTGGCAACATTGAACGGTAACGATGCCTGCCGCTTGTTCATCAGATGGCCATCTGATGAACGTTTTGGAGTGTCCACAAGCGTGTGGATGTACTACGAGTGAGTGCGATGGCCTCACTTGTGGTACGGTCGTTAGTATGACTGCACAAAACCTTAGTGTACCAAACGGTTACACTTCGGAATAAGGTTCCGGCGGCTGTGAGGAAACACAGGCTGCGCCGAAGGTCCACCACTCGAATAAGTCGAATGGACCGGGACAAAGATGTATTTCTGGAGGGGAACATCCAGAAGAGAAACAATCCATCGCTCAGGTTAAGCGAAACGATAATCCTAGATCGACTGGAGAGTCTTTCATAGAGGATCTCGCTGTGGTTGCGCAACCCCAGCTAGAGGAAGTAAAGGGAATAAGTCCCGATGTTACAAATACGGCGGAAATAAGTTCCCCGAAACCCGCGGGAATAAGTCCCCGGGAAGCCGAAGGAATAAGTCCTTTGAGGCCTGAGGGAATAAGTCACCAGGAAATGACAGAGACATTGAATGTCACAGTCAATAACGGATCAAGTGTAGGCGCTTATACACTTGATCTGATTGCGCCTCCGAAGTTGACTTCGGAGATCACTCAGTTGCCAACGCTCGAACATAAAATGTTCTTGCGTGATCTGCGTAGTGGCAAAGTCAAGCAGATCTGCATACTCGTCGCTGGCGACGAGTGTGTAACCGACATAAGGTCAGCAACAGTGTTCACTGAGAACGAGAGAGTTCTCAGTAGTTCATCTATGGACGAGAGTGTCCCAGATGAAAAGACACGAATTGAGCGATATGACTCCCAATCATGGGGATCGCTCAAGACAAATCCTCTCTATGAAGAAGACAAATCCTCTCTATGAAGATTTGGTTGAATTTAAGGATGTATTCCCTGAAACTGTTCCGTGCGAATTACCGAAGGATGAGGATATTCGACACGAGGTCGAGCTTAAACCAGGCTCGAAGTACTGTGTCACGAAGCAGTGGCCACTGCCTCGTGAACAAGTACTTGCGATCGACAAGTTCTTTGCCGATCGTTTAGCTGCGGGCCATGTGAGGGAATCAACTTCCCCACATAACTCTCCGAACTTCTGTGTGCGAAAAGCAACAGAAGGTTGGCGGATTGTGCATGCATTTAACAAGGTGAATGCTGCAACGGTACCGGCTCAGACGCCGATACCAAGGAAGGACGTAATCATTGATGGTATGTCAAAGAGTACCATCTTTTCGTCCATGGATTTGATGGATGGCTTCTATCAAATCCTTATGCGAGAACGGGATACACCCTATACCGCAGTTAGCACGCCTAGCGATATGCTCTGGGAATGGCTAGTAATGCCACAAGGGCTCCGTAATGCCCCTGCCACGTTCAACAGATGTGTATCACATCTGTTGAGACCAGTACGAGAATTCGCGCCGAGTTATTTCGATGACGTATTCATCCATAGTCGAGCTATGGATGGAAAGTCGGACGTTGAGGTTCACAGGTACCACGTCCGACAGGTTCTTACAATCATGCGAAAGCATCAATTGTATGCTAACCTCAAGAAGTGTATATTTGCAGCAAGCGAAATACCACTTCTTGGGTGCATCGTTGGTAAGAACGGTGTACGTCCTGATCCCAAAAAGATCAAGGCGATCACCGACTGGCCTGTGCCGGTCGATGTCAAAGGTCTTCGAAAATTCCTTGGGCTAGCGGCGTATTTGCATAAGTATTCACGCAATTACGCCGAGATGACTGTGCACCTCTCTCGTTTGTTGAAAAAGAACGAGAGGTGGTTATGGAACGCTGAATTTAAGCGCTCCTTTGATGGTATCAAGAAGAGCTTGATACAATCCCCAGTCCTAGCAATAGCCGATCAGGACAGGCCATTTCATGTGGTCTGTGATGCCACAGATTTCGCAATCGGCTGTGCATTAATGCAGCACGATCTTGAAGGCGCTGAACGCATCGTCTGCTATCAGTCGCGTCAGCTGCAACCAGCTGAGCGGAACTATCCAGTGCATGACAAGGAACTCCTTGCCATGAAGTATGCACTCGCGAAGTTCAGAGTCTATCACAACGAATGGCGCGGTGGTTGTCATTCTTTGCAGAATACAACTTTACGGTCGAGTACAAACCAGGACGACTTAATGTCGTCGCTGATGCACTCTCACGTCGGCCCGACTTTGAACCAGTCGTGAAACCCAGCAGTGAGACAGCCACTGTTGCGGTTATGACGTCCTCAGTCCCATCTACAACATTACATGATGATGTGAGGTGGGCGTATGCCCAAGATGGTGAGATTGTGAAGTTGTTGACACATCTCTCACAGCCATCTCGAGAATCGTTGAAACGATTGTCGTCTGCGTATCGATCTGCATCAGATCGATACACTACTCGCAACGGTTTTCTGTATCATACAGCCGTTACTGCTGACACACCACGTGTTGTCATTCCAGATGATACTGATCTGCGTTTGCGGATCATGTTCGAGTATCACGATGCTCCTATAGGAGGACATCGTGGCCGAGAGAAAACGTATCTCACGGTGAGTCGAGACTTTTACTGTCCCCGCCAGTATCAGTTTGTGCGAAAGTATGTTCGCGCATGCGAAGTCTGCCAACGAGTGAAGTCAAGTCCTTCACTGCGTGCACCTTTACAGCCTCTACCGGTTCCGGCTGAGTGCTGGGAATCCATCTCAATGGATTTCGTCTTCGGGTTACCCAAAGACGCACGCGGGAATACGGGTATTCTCGTACGTGTTGACAGATTCAGCAAAATGGTACACGTTGTGGCTGTACCAGAGACAATCACGGCAAGTGGCTGTGCTTGTGTCTTTATTGACACCATCTTCCGACTTCATGGGCTGCCCCGTGAACTTGTATCAGACAGAGATCCACGATTCACTGCTGATTTCTGGCGTTCCGTGTTCAAATCACTCGGAACGCGCTTGAAGATGTCTACATCTGATCATCCAGAGTCAGATGGTCAGACGGAACGTGCCAATCGTGTCCTTGAAGAGATACTTCGAGGATACGTACACTCCTTTACGAGTTGGAGTGAGTTTTTGCCAATGGTAGATTTTGCCATCAACAACTCGGTGCATGCGTCCACGACACATACACCGTTTTACGTGAATGGCTTACGCCATCCGCGTGTACCCACCTTACTAGAGTGTAACTCTGGTTTAAGGGGGGGAGGGACTCGCACGAGCAAAAACAGATTTTGTTCACGCTCATCACGCTCTGACGAAGAGATCATTGCGTTTGATGCCGATATCGATAACATCGACATCGAAGAAGATGATGCCAGTGAGAGTGCGGAAGCCCTCACTGAAGAAAAGATTGATGTTGCTGCAGTGCACTCACAGCGCAATGAAGCTAACGAGTCATCAGATGAGTTCATACTGGCTCTTGAAACGGTAGTCCGTTTTGTGCAAGACTACGTCGCCGAAGCGGTGGATAAGCAAAAGCAAAACGCTGACAAGAATGGAAGAGCAAACACTCTTTTATTTAGTAAAGGTGACTTAGTCCTACTGTCTACGGTTAATCTACCAAAGCATGTAGTGACTAACTTGGGTAGCAGTAAACTTCTACCCAAGTACATCGGCCCATTTCGCGTATTGCACCGCCTAGGCAATGCATACACGATCGAGTTGCCACGTAAGATGCGAACGCATCCCACGTTTTACGTTGGTCGGCTTAAGCCGTACCATCAGTACGCTGCTTCTTCCGATGAAGAACGCCCTTGCGCTCAAGCTTCTCGCAGAGAGCCTTGTGCTCCCGATGGTGGATATCAACGAGGATCTGAAGAGCAGTTATCTCAGTCGAGACCGATCAACAATCCCACGAGCTACCCTTAGATCGTCATGAAGAGATTTCTGAGATCTCTCGTTCTCAAGCTGAGCAAAGGCAAACTCAGCTCGATGCTTTAAGACAGCGTCCGCCAGTTGGAGACGCCTGTCCCGCTCGTGTTTGAGATCGCCGCGTAACCCTTGCGTTACGCGATCAAAGAAGCTCTCGGGAACACACGGATCTACATGATCGTGTAGAGAGCGTCTTTCCTCCTCTTCCACCTCCGTTACAGGACTCTCGCGGTGGCCAGCGCTATCTGGTTGAGCAGCTGTTGAACCACCGCGATGTAAACGGACGTCGGACGAGTTATCTCGTCCGGTGGCGCGGCTTTCATCCGTCCTGGGATACTTGGGAGCCCCGCTCCCAACTGATGGTTGACGTACTGGGTCTGGTTGAGCAGTACGACGCGGCACATCCTGTGCCGCAGAAGGACCGCCGGAGAAAGTCTTTCCGGCACGGTCGTAAAGGGATTTCAGGTTGTCAATCCCTCCGTACATCTCAGTAGAGACACGTACGCGTCACCACGGGCTAGTAAGGAGGTAAGCCTCCTTAGGTGCTCGTGCAGAGTTGTTCACACAACATGGGCACGAGTCTCCCCAAGAGAGACAGGGTAATCCTTTCTCCCTTGACAGACGATGCAGCTTGTAGCGTGCACCTGTCGGGGTTCGCTTTTCAAACTTATCACGAGCTTTGATAAGTTTGTCGCTCCAAGCGTCACGACCTACATCCTCGATGTTATGGATGTAGGCGTTCCATGCCTTAAGTAGTGAGGGACCATCACGTTTGTGATTCCCACTGTACCATCGATGTCTAAAGAAAGCATCGATGAAGAATTCATGTTCAGCGCGATAGTTTTTCGCACTGGGGTCAAGGTGATGGATCCTTGACGAATCGAACAACCGTGTTCGATAACGATCACTCGTCGTCACTAACAAGTGATCCATGACGGATTTCGGAGGCATCCATGCCTTCTTCTCGGGAGCGAGGCGCAACATACTGCGGTCCCGCTATTCTTGCGACGTACTAACAGAAAGAATGGCACCTCGTTGCGAAGTGGTGTCAATAGGAGAACCGACACCACTGTTAGCGCCCGAGTCTCGCGACCTCGAGCGCCTTCGCTTCGGCGATGGTTCATCTGATTCATCAGATGAACCAAAGATGCTGCGACGCATAGCATCATCCATGCCACGCTTGGCAGGCGGCTTGACTTCGATCGCCGTCGATACGGATCCGTCTTCCGTATCAGGAGAGTACGAGACACCGAGCTCGTACTCTGTGAAGACACGAGTGTCTTCATGACCAGCGCCTGCATCACCAGGTGACACAGGCTGAGTTGCTTCAGCAACCGATGAGACATCAGTTGCTGTGGTTTCTGCTTCGGCGTCCGCACAGAGACGTGCGGACGCGCTCTCGGCGGCCTTGCTCGCGCATCGCATGGGCATGTTAACCACGCAATAAATTGTTGGAAAGTGGACTCGGACCAACAAGTGCAAACCCTGTCCCAAGTGATTTGGGACGAGTTTCCATTTAGTCAATCAGTCACTAAAGTGACTGATGGTTAAGGGGGGGGTGTAACGGGGTGAACCGCAACATAACAATTTATAAGAAAATGTTCACAGGATGTAAATCTAAGAGTTAAATTCTCAGAAGATTTTCATAAGGACAAGTATTCTGTAGCACTTACGAGTAGTTCCTAATTGGTTGATGTAGGCCATTATATCAACCAGCGAAGACGCGCCACGACAGACGCACGCAATGAGTGGTGAGCAGATAACTGATTTACACATTTGTATTTAGACATAGTTAGATGAAGATAAATAGTGATTTATTGCAGACATTAACTATACTAAATACAGTTCTACTTTTTACTTTAACCAAGTACTCGCTTCTTCTTACCGTCTTCCTCTGCACGTACGAGTGTACGTGAAGTTCCGAGGCACCACCTCATTCTGTCATCAGAATAAGTAGCTTGTGCTATCACCAGTACAAGCTTCAGGGTGTCCCGTTACATTCCCAGTCAGGGTAAGGAGACCGGTCATCCTACCCATCGAAAATCTCCGTCGCTTGGCCGTTGTTGTACGAAGGCGCAAAATCGGAAGTGACTGAACCATTAGGTTAACAAAGGTTATTTGTAGATGCAGTTGAGGTGTCGCTGCAACTTAATTTTCTATTAGAGGGTAGCGTGTGTTTGTTGGTATCATGCTAGGACCGCACCTTCCGTGTAGGGCTCAAGCTAAGACTGAAATGATGATAATTCGGAATGACAAGCAGAACACGCGCATAAAAGAAGTTGCCACATACTTGTATGACGATAGTGACCAAACGTCTGACTACCAGCATCGACTAAACTGTTGCACACCACACTATCACACGCGATATATTTATATGTATGTACCACCGCCGTGTATGGTCTTAAAGCTGTTTCTAGTCACATTGATAACTACCTATGCGTATGACCAAGCCAGGATGTCAGCCGTTAAGCTACATAGCACTAGTAACTTATACCATGCCAATACAAGTTTATTAGTGCTCCGTTACACCTTGTGTGCAACGGAGTGCCTCCATTAGATGATAATTTGCATAAGGTGATTGTCAAGTAATAATATTATGTTAGGTCAACACGATATTCTCACGATATTATCCTTTTTGATAGTATTGCTTTGCAGATAAAGCACATCGTTCATTAATGAATGGACCAATAAATGAACCAATACAGTTTAGCTACGAAACAAGCACGCTCTGATGTGGTGGGCATATGGTTACAGTTCATGTTTGTATTCAGCCATGCTTAAATGAAGTCAAATAGGGATATATGATCAGGATTATTCTATACTAGGTACAGTCCTACATATCACCTTTTTACCGAGTACTCTTACTACGTATAGCAAACTTCCTCTGCATGTACTATTGGATAGGGTATCTAGATGCACACAACCTTGCACTGTTAGCCGTGCAAGACCACTTATATTAGCTAGAAAATGTGTGATCCGTTTCACCTGGTAGCACTTCGCTGTCTGTTCAACGACCATGACTTTGAGAAAAATGAGGGGGAAGGTTATCACCCCACACATTATACCTGCTCCAATTTTATTCGAATTGAATAGGATGACATTAAAAGTTTGAGTTCAACTTATAGGGCAGGAAGCCATTATGGCAATTCTATTCGTCTTAAGGCCAGACGCAGATCAGCCACCATCGTCGAGTTCATTCAGAATGAACTTTACGTCAAGTAGGAAAGTGAAACCTTGATTTTCTAATAAGTGTTTCAACAGCTCTGTCTGTTAGTAGAACATAGATCTCAACAGTATGAACTGTAGATACAGCGGCAGGCCATTGCTATCGGGTCGACGTGCATACGTCGACCCAAAATCCTAAAGATTGACACCTTTTAGTAAAAGAGCCCGATGAAGACTCTCTGTTAAAATCTCGTGGAACTAGACGATGCCGTAAAGGCTCCCACAGCGTCGCTGAAAATTACAGGTTGGATTTGCTCAATCGAACCTTTTTGGCCTTGCAAAGACGTAGGCCTTCGTCTTTAAGGTACGCTTATTACATAACTTTGGATAGTAGGGAGTATTCATGTCCTTGCTTCGACAAAAAATTGAGCCGCCGCAAGTTGAGCTCAGGGCTCAGTCTATGATCCTGAAAATCAGGCGAGGTAAACGTAACATACACTCATACATTCAGTACATGCATCACCTTGCCAGTTGCATAACAGTTGAATCATTGAACGAACAACAGTTTTTCATGTCGTTTATGCAAGGTCTAACTGATGGTCCCGTTAGTGATAAATTGCTCCAATTGAATTGTAACACACTCTATTAGGCTATAAGCATTGCAAAACAGGGGGATTTTGTGTGAAACAGGCTCTCGCTAACTCGAATTCCTATCGTCCTTTACGACGAAATGTAAATAAAGATTTAAAACGTATGGAGCTCTGTCACGCCAGGAGCAAGAGCTATCGTGTCGCGGACTACAAATTTTTTTTAGTACAGTAGCGTCAGAAGATAGGGCATGATTCATACGTATGCAGTACCCCGAACGCTTAACCACGTACCACAGGAGACAATATTCGCACAGCGGTCAAGCAGGGTCGAAGGCTTGGGCATATATTTGTTGCAAGGATGCAACACTGTAACGGACATCCTAAACTGATTGGGACAGTAGGTGCGGAGAACTCTACTGGTCCAGCAACGTCAAGTGAGTTTGAAGACCTCTTGACAAAAGCTGCTCCCAACAATCAATTGTTGTGTATCGCTGCTTCTGGTTATTTGATTTATATAATTATTTTAATAACAAATTACACAAATCACGTCGATTTAATCTTCAGTCGATTGTAAGGCGTCCAACAAGTTTGTACATTGCCAATTACTAGACAACAGTGAGCTCGAATATGTCGAGGGTGAGATTCCTCTCGCGAGGATGACAGTTCGCCTTGCGAAAGGCCCATTTTTTTACAGTGATAAAACTTGGAGTAGAAATCACCGACACATTGAAGGGAATACAATATAAAATCTTCTTCCTTCTAGACTCAAATGTAAAAAAAGAATTATATAATTGGACTGCCGGGCATCCCAAGGTGCGAGCCACAAGTCAGCTGGCATTGACAAACCGTCGATATGCATGTCAATTGTACACCAAATGACCATGTTGTGGACGTCGTGGAGCGCCCACTGATTTGTGAGTGTGCTACGAGCGATTGCGATGGCCTTGCGTGTATTTTGATTGTTAGTACGACTGCAAAAAAACTCAAAGTAGCAAATGTCTACACTGTGGAGAAAGCTCCCAGAGGATCTACAGACTACAGGAAGCGCCGGAGATCCATAACTTGAATAATTCGATTCAACCAGACATGGATGCATTCCTGGCGGGCAACATTCTTAGGAAGAAACCGGTTGCCACCAAATGGTAAAACGAATATTCTAGGTCAATTAGAGGCCCATATGGAGAAGGTAGGACCTGACTATAATTTCACAGCCACAGTTAAAAGACGTCAACGGAATAGGTCCCCACGTACAAAAAAAGAAATTTTCAAGATGTACATGCTGTGAGAATAGGCTCTCTGTAACCTATGGAAACAAGTTTTAGGTCGAAACAGAGACGTTAAACGCCTTGTTCAACGAAGGATCGAGCTTGGACGTAAGATCGCTTTATCGGTTGAACACCCGAAGTTATTTTCGGAGACCAATCAACGGTCTACACTACGACATCATGGTTTCTTGTCCGATCTGTGTAGTGGCAAAGTCATGCATATTTTCGTTGTTGTCGCGAAAGACGAGTACGTAGCGACATTTAATTAGTAATGGTTTTCACTGAGAATAAAGAGTTCTCAGCAGCTCATCAAAAGACGAGAGTGTATAAAATGAAATTGTTCGGTTTAAGCGATTTATATCCCAATCACGGAAATTGTTCAAGACAAAAATTCTCTACGATGTTTTAACGGAATTCAAAAATTTTTTTGAAGAATCAGTGCCGTGTGAATTACTCAAGGACACGG